ACAGGTTTCCCTGGTGTGCAGTTCCAACAGAGTAGGGATGTCCATAGAGTTCACCAATACACTGTCCTCTTAGCCTTCATAAGGTGGTCAGTGTTGACCTTCAGGATGCTCCCTGCAGGGAGAACTCTGCTTCCCCTTCCCAAGATGAGCACCCATGCCTCCCTCCACTAAGGGGGTAGTAAAGAATTAACTAGACCTGGTAGAGTAATTGATGGTGTTTTATTGGGCAAAGAACTTACACAGAAACAACAAGGGACTGTCACGGAGCTCCCGCTCCAAGGATGCAAACCCTGTCTCCCTGACGCTCTCTGCCACCCGGAGGGGATCCCGATTTTCTGATCCTCTCCCTTTATCCGGTCAAGTCCACACCTGTAACCATGCCCAAGGGGCGTGACCACTGTTACAGGCGCTCAGGCAAATGTATTGCTGCAAATCCCCTTTTAGTTTAAAGAAGGAGGTTTAGGCTTGATACAAAACTATCTACAATGACAGCAAATATCAAGTGTGCGTGGCCATTGTCACAGGTGCTCAGGCAAATGTATGGCTACACCCCACCCTTGTCTTTACAGATGTCCCTTTCCCTCTCTGCAGAAGGCAGCTGCTGTTCATGCATGCCTAATTTGGAGCTAAGGGTCTCTTGCAGCTCCCAGAAAAACCTCCGTGGATCAATGACGATGGCTCTTTTCCAGGTCCGGTTCTCTTCAGAAGGTCGTGGGGGGGGGCGGTCCCATGATCCAGGAAACAGGGGGACTCTACCCACCGGTCCTTTTCTGTGCTGTCTCCTCAAGTTTGTCCTGTGAGTGGTGCAAGGGCAGAGGCTCAGCTTTGGCACCTTGTCCTACATCTGAACGCCCTGAGCTCCTGCAGTGCTGAGTGAGACCTCGGCCTGGCTCCGGCGCCTCTGTGTGGGGTGGGAGACTAGTAGGAGGACCCAGGGTTGTTGTGAGGGCTGGGAGGATGCAGCCCGCCTGTGGGTGTCCTCACTACCACAGGGCCAGAGAAGCTCTAGGGATGAACGCACAGGCTACAGAGGAAAGTGGAGCTCCAGGGTTAGCGAGCAGACAAGATGAACGGGGACTCAAGGGGCGGTGGGGCACACGAGGATGGAGCCGAACCCAGAGAGGCACGGTAGCGACGGACACAGATTGTGGGTCGGCAAGGAGCAGGCACTGGCGGGAGGCGCCCAAGGGTGAAGAAGAGGGGAGACTGGGGTGCTCTTGTAGGTTGTAAAGCACCCCCTAAGCGCTTCCTGGACACTGGTGCGGAGAGAGGGGTTTTTACGGGCTCAGGACAGGACAGCCTGGCTGGAGGGAGGGGATTCAAGAACTTCCCTATAGAAGTAGCTTCCTGGAACTCAGGACTGGTAGTAGGTGTCCGGGAAGGCCAGGTGCGGGCGACCGGCTTCTGTCCTGGTTCCTGATCCTAGGTAGTCCCAGAGGCAGGTGACCAAAGATAAGCAGGGGTGTGGGGAGATAAGAGGGCCCCTGTAGTTGCCAGGGCGTTGGTGGTGTGCATATCTTCAATCCCAGCACTCGGGAGGCAGAGGCAGGAGGATCTCTGTGGAGTTCGAGGCCAGCCTGGTCTACAAGAGTGAGTTCCAGGGCAGCCTCCAAAGCAATACAGAGAAACCCGGTATCGAAAAACCAAACCAAACCAAACCAAACCAAACAAACCAAACCAAAAAAAAAAAAAAAAAAAAAAAAAAAGAGGTCCCCTGTAAACACCAGACTGAGATGCGGCAAGGTGTATGAGGCAGAAGCCTGGAGCTTGGAGTGAACCGAAGACCAAGACCTGGTGTCACATGCTTCTGCCTCAGCGTCTGAATCCTGGAAAGCCCCAGGCTGCTCGATCTTGTCGGCAGCACCTTCCTGACTGTCAGCAGGATACCCCGGATCTGTGTTCTCTTGGCAGCTGCCAGCCTGGCTGCCCAATCCACCATGACCATGACGGAGGAGCGGGAGCCCTCTCCCCCATCTCATCCGGGTGGCCCAGCACTGCTCCGTCTTTGGTGGTTAGCCTCCTCCTCACGTCTTATTTCTCAGCAGCTCCCTGAAGGACGAGACCTTTAGGGCCTGTTCCTCAGAGCCACTCTCTCTGCTCTCCATGCAATGCACAGCCCTGTCAGTGCAGAGTGTGTCTGTGTTCACGGCTGGCCCTAATGGTCCCTGCCATGCCTCACCAACAGGGGACCCGACGGCAGTGTGCTGCGTGCGTCCTTAACAGAGAATTCCCTTCCCTCCGTGTCATCTTCATCCCCCAGAAGCTCATGTGTCACATACTGCCCGGAGCAGTCTTGAACACTGAGCCGTGGAAGCCTCAGTGTGGCTTCTAGAATTGCTTCCCTCACTAGGGAAGCTTGGTGTTGGACTTCAAGGTGAATGAGCCAGGACCTCACCTTCATCTCCCAGAAATGAGATCAGACGTTTCCTCCACTTTACTTCCCACCTTCTTGACAAGAGAAAGAAGAAATTACCATGGGGGAAATTCCAGATGCTAGAGACTGTCCTGAGGGGGGATCAATACACCAGGGGGACAGGAGAGGTGGCCCCTGCAGAGGTCAGGCTGGCACTGGGAGAAGTGCTCTAGAGGATGGCTAGGTGACAGGGATAGGATTTGGGGAGAACCTGTGGCTTGGGTCTTCTGCCCTTTGGAGGTCAGTCTTGGCGTGGGTATCGGTGTCTCTGATCAGATCTGTGCTGTCTGAGTTTCCCATTGTCGGCTGAGAGAAGGGTTGCACTCAGGGTACCCTGCACAACCTTTCCGACTCCCCTGGATCAGGTGGGTACCCAGTAAGAGACTGGCCTCAAGGCCTCTGGGTTTAAGAGTCTGGTTAGGACAGCCAAAGGGATCTTGGGGTGGGGGTTCTTAGAGTATATGGGGACAGGAGGTAAAAGCCCAGGGATGTTTGCACCACTCCACCTGACCGGTGGCTGAAGTAAGGGGGTGAAACCAGCAGGTGACAGCCACTAGCGAGTGCTTTGAAAGTGGATAAGACCTGGATTCAGCCTCTGCTGTCTGTCTTGTCACTGGGGGCCCGAACAGAGCTTATCTGGTGATGGACATGGGACGGCCTGGGTTGAATGAGTGATTGGTCAACCCTAGCTTTCATTCTGTTCTACATGGTTGGCGAGTTATATGGAGCAGGGATGGGTCTCACAGAAGTCTTGCTGTTCAGGACAAGATCCATGCATAGATAGCACGTCCCGTACGCTGACATCCAGTGGTGGAGGGGGTGAGTAACTGGGCATTCCCCAGGTGTCAGTAAGTCCTGTCTCTTGTTGTGTCCCAGTTTCCTGACTTGATGATGATCTCTGATTGTGTATCTTCTGGGAATGAAGGCTTGGGACCCTAGTAGAGGTCTTTAGGTGGGGGGTAGGGGGTTGTACTGGGTTAGGGAATCTCATCAGAAGCCTCTGGCCTCTCCACCCTGGGGCATGTTTCTGAGAGCCAGGAGACATGGAGACATTCCAGCAGCCCAGAGCCTTCTGTGTATTCTGAGGCGCCCATGAGCTGTAGGGCTTTGACTATTTTCCCAGGGCTCATTTGTGGAATGGGGTACAGGGGCTGCCTCTGCTCCTTACTGGAAGCTCCCACAGAGCAGGAGTTGGAAGAGTTTACCCACAGGCCCTTGTACTACAAGGTTGGAAGATTAATAGTGAGACTGTTCTCATGAAGGCATCCACAATCTGACCCCCGTCTGGTCCCCCACTTCAGAGCCTTAGGGACTGGGAGCACCACCTCCCAGTGACCCAACTGGAGGTCAGCAACAACCTCTGACCCCAGGCGCGGGAAGCTTCGGCCTGACAGGACACCTCTCCTCATGCTCACTTAGAAACACTACTTCTGCCCTAGTGCCTAGCCTTTCCTCTCTGAGCCTACAGTTGTGACCTGAGGACATTTGCGGCTGTAGCCAGTGTGATCCTTCTCAGTGGACAGCCTCGCAACGCTGGCTGGCCTCAGTGCCTGTAGCTTGTACTGCCAGGAACTTGGGAGTGGCGTGTTCCTGTCCCCATGTCCTGCTTTTACTTTCTGTGGCTGGCCACCCTGTACAGTCTACTACAGACAGAGAGGCACGCGGCGTGGCTGTGTAGGACAGCCTCTGTAACATACAGCAGACTTTTCGGTGTCCCTCTGGGATGGGATTCTGGAGGGCTATGGCTAGCTTTATGTCAACTTGACACCAGCTAGACACATCCAAAAAAGAGGGAACTGCAACTGAGAAAATGACTCTATAAGATCTGGTCAAAGGGTATTTTCTTAATTAGTGATTGACAGGGGGTGGGGGCAACCCATTGTGGGTGGTGCCATCCTTGGATCTATAAGAAAGCAGGCTGAGAAATCCATGGACAAAAAGCCAGCAAGCAGCATCCCTCTGCGGCCTCCTCATCAGCTCCGGCCTCTAGGATCCTACCCTGCTTGAGTTCCTGTCCTGACTTCCTCCCGTGATGGGCTGTAATGTGGAAGTGTGAGCCGAATAAACCCTTTCCTTCCCAAGCTGTTTTTGGTCATGGTGTTTGATTATGGCAATAGTAATCCAAATTAGGACAGCCAGGCCCCAAAAAGAGCTGTGGGTGGGTCTTTTAGGCTGGCCCACAATGTTCCCTGGAACAGGATGTGTTCTAGGTGTGGGCAAGACTTGGATATGAGGAAAACCAGACCAGGGCTGGGTTTACCAGCCAAACCTACGAGGGTAGTGACCAATTTGGCTAGATGGAGCAATCATCTGTGGCTAATTAACGGACCGGACCGTAGAGGGGAGAGAGCCAACAGCACAGGTTGAAGGATCTTGAGGAACTCGATTTCCTGTATTACATTGTAGTCACTCAGTTCTCTTTGGAGTCTTGGTCTACAGAAACCCCACCTGCAGGCTTACTGAGGTCCCTGATCAAAGACTGATCAAAGACGATGGCTCTGGGGCCCAGCATACTACTTTAAAGTAAGAAACCCCACCCACATCTGCGGGCAGGAAAGTAAGACTGTTCTGCCTGCTCCCTCTCAGGCCCAAGGCTGCTCCAGGACGATAAGGAGTCTTGCTTCACCCTTCGAGGATAAAGGTTGTCTCCGGTTGCTAGGCTCCCCCGCCCGTACGCATAAGTGTAAAGGCTGAAGAACCGGGCCGTGGCAAGTGGTGGTGGGGGAATATCTCTGACACGGTGAGTTGGAAAGTGACTAGAAGCTCCTGGGGGAGGAGGGTCCTGTCAGTGGGCTGTGTTGGGAGATGGGCCCATACATAAAGCTCCCAGTTGTCTGAGGCTCAGGTTCCTACGTCAGTCTGTCTGTCTGTCAGAAAACTCAAGCCAGGTATTTGAGGTTCCCTGGGAGACTGACGTTTAACTTCCACAGGGTGTTTATACAGTCTGGGAGTGTGCAAACAGGAACTAGCTCATGTTCCTGTACTCTCCTCCCCCCTCCACTCCCCCCCCCCCATCTACTTAGTGCACTACAGAACTCAAATCTCTTTTAGTTTCACTTTTTGCCGATGGGCTGAGAAGGGTGTGTGAGGTCCAGGCCCATGGAGCTCCTGGCCTGCAGTGTCTTGATCAGGAGCATGGAACCTCTACCAGGATGGGGGTCTTCATCCTGGAGCCAGGCCCCTACAGACAACACCTACAGGCTGGTGAGTCCCCCGAGCCTTTTCCTGTCCCCAAGTTCTGTCCTTTCCAACCAAGCTCCAGCCACAGCACAGATCACCCCAGATGTCTGGACCTTTAGCTCATGGGGCTCTTTGTTGCTGGATGTCCAGATCTCTGGATATGATTGAGGACAAGCTTATGTTGGGAGGCTACAGGTAGGCCGGCCCCAGGGGGCTCTACTCACAGACATCTGCTGTGGCTCTCATTCCAGAGCAGGTGGTAGGTATTCTCCTGGGCATGGTGACCCTTGGCAGGCCCTAGCCTGGAAGAGCCTCTGGCCAGGCCCTGTAGCAAGAGGCCAGCCCTATGCAGCTCTGCCCAGAGGACGATCATGTCGTTCGTACAGTGCAGGTAGACATTAGGGCAGGCTGGCAGGAGCCAGGGTGTCTCCCTTATTTGCTCAATTAGGCAACTGACGGGCAGCCAGACATAGCTGCTCTCCCCTAGGATCCTGAAGAGCTGTTGCTACCCCCTGCTGGCAGCCTCTGAGTCCAGCCCTAGCTGACTCCCCAGGTCTTACACTGTCAGGCCCAGAAAGAAGGCAGAAGAGAGGTTAAGCGGGTGTGGACCCTGAGCCGGTCCCACAGAGAAGCTGTGAGCTGAGAGGCTGCTGCTTCCCCCACTGCACAAAGCAGAGCATTTAACTGAGGCCCTGGGCCACCGGGAGGAGGGAGCCATAGGGATGGAGGGAGGATGGTCCCCTCCAACACTCATCCCCTCTCCCAGGTCTTGCGTGTCTTCCTTTTGAACTTCCTGCAGTGTATCTCTGTCCAGCCCCTGTGCAGAGAGGAAGAGTATTCTGTGGGGGGCGAGTGCTGCCCCATGTGCAACCCAGGTAGGCACAGCTCTAGGAGCCAGCGCCGGGCACCTGGAAGCTCCTGCCCTGAGTCTCTTGGCCTCTGGGTTCTCAGCCCGATGACCCAGCAGACCCAGGCTGTACAGGGTTCAGTCCACGGATAGCCGCTGGCAACCTATATTCCTCAGCTTCCGGGACCTTTGCTGTTTCACTGTGGGGGTGGACCTGGGCCACAGGGCAGGCCCAGCATAATCAGAGGCTGAGACATAAAACAGGGCTATGGCCAGAGACAGTCCCAGGTGAATCAGGAGGTCCCACACTGCAAACTTCGGGATTGCCCACAGAGGGCACACAGGAGGCAGATGGGGCCTTTGTCTTGGTTGGTGCCATAGCCGCTGGAGTTCCGGGTGAGGGTGCAGGGTAGGCTTCTGCAGGTAGCGCCCCCGCCCCCGCCCCGCCCCCCCGCCCCGCCCCTCCCCGCCCCCACTGAGGAACTGTGGGTCCTGGCCGCAGGTTACCATGTGAAGCAAGCCTGCAGTGAGCGGACAGGCACAGTGTGTGCCCCCTGCCCCCCCGCAGACATACACTGCCCATGCAAACGGCCTGAGCGAATGCCTGTCCTGCGGAGTCTGTGACCCAGGTAGGAGCTCCTGAGGAGGCGGGCTGTGCGGAAGGCGGGCCGTGGTGCGCTGGGACGGCTGGAGGGTGGGCGCTCTCACCGCTCTGTCTCTGACGGCAGACATGGGCCTAGTGACCTGGCAGGAGTGCTCCAGCCGGGAGGACACGGTGTGCCGCTGCATCCCAGGCTATTTCTGTGAGACCCAGGAGGGGGACCACTGTTCCACGTGCCTGCCGCACACCGCCTGCCCTCTGGGACAGAGGGTACTCAAGAGAGGTGAGCTGGACGCTGGACGACTGTGGGCTCCTCCTCCGGGTCCGTTTTTGTTTTTGTTTTTTTTTGGTCCCAGTGCCCCTGCTGCCTGGTGTTCAGAAACCCTCCGACTCAGGGATCTCGGGAAGGTGTGGGAACCTTGGCCACCCGCAGGCCGCCCACCTGAGACAAGTCCTGGTGGCAAGAGGGGGGAGAGGGGTGTCCGCTGACAGCTGAAGGGAGGGTGGGGCAGCAGAAGATTGGGGAGGCTGAGGGAAGAGGCAGAACAAAGTCACTGAGGGCGGGAGAGGGCAGGGGAAGGCGGGGCAGGGGCAGGTGGAGCAGGGGCAGGCAGGAGAGGTCAGGAGAAGGGGAGAGCAGGGGCAGGCAGGAGAGGGCAGGGGAAGGCGAAACAGGGGAAGGCAGGGCAAGGGCAGGCAGGAGAGGGCAGAGAAAAGCCTTTTTGGTGAGAGTCAGGAAGAAGACAGAGGGCAGTGGAGGGAAGGGGGCTGGAGCAGCACCAGTGGCTCCCACTTCTGGTCTAACCTCAGCTATCCAGCCTCATCTCAGATGCCCTGCAAGGAGCCTGACTTGTAGGGTAACCTAGGCCAACCTCACTGCTTAACCAGATGTTAAGTGTGAGGCCAGTCTTTCCTTCCTATCCGGAATCTGGCCGGGACACCCGAAAGGGCTTATGGGGTGAAGGACCAGGAGCCCCAGATTCTTAACACGAGGCCCTTTCCTCGTCCAGGACGTCCTACAACTACCCAGCCCCCCTCACGCGTCCTCCGGGTGTCATCTCCCACCACCGCTCCCTCTACCAGCCACAGAACATCATGCCTTAGAAGGCTCCGGAACAGACCGATCCCAGGCTCCTCCCCCAGGGAAGCCCAGCTCCTGGCAAACCTGAGCCCAGTGTTTTCTGTGGTCTCTCTCTGATCCGCAGGTAATCACAGCCAGGACACTGTATGTGTTGACTGCCTGACAGGAACCTTCTCATCTGGAGGAAATCAGGAGGAATGTCTGCCCTGGACCAAGTAGGTGCCCTGTACTCTGGGGAAGGAACTTTCTGTTCTCCAGGGAGATGAGTGCCCTGTGCCAGCAGAGTTGGCCCTTGGTAGGCTGACCTCGAACAGCAACACGGGGGGGGGGGGCTGAGCTCCCAGAGATCATTGGGGCCTTAGGCAGGAGGCCACAGGCTGTGGCCAGTTCCCACCCTATCAGTGTGGCTCCCAGGTAGGGGTCGTGGATGTGGGCATGATTTCTTAGTTAGGGTTTCTATTGCTGGGAAGACACACTGTGACCACAGCAGCTCTTACGAAGGAAAACATTTAACTGGGACCCCGCTTACAGTTCAGAGGTTTAGTCCATTATCGTCATGGCGGGAAGCATGGTGGTGAGCAGGCAGACATGGTGCTGGAGGGGTATCTGAGAGTCCTACATCTGGACCAGCAGGCAGCAGCAGGGAGAGAGAGTGACACTGGGCCTGGCTTGAGCATCTGAAACCTCAAAGCCCACCCCAGGGACACAATTCCTCCCACAAAGCCACACCCACTCCAAGGAGGCCACGCCTCCCGATAGTGCCGCTATGAGCCTGTGGGGGCCGTTTTCATTCAAATCACCACAGTGGTGACCTCAGGTGAGGTCCCTTCTCCACCTGAGCCAGGACCCCTTTAAATGTGCGTCCCACACCCTATAGCTAACCTGAGAACTCGGGGTCTCTGAGGGCTGCTGTGCTTCTTTGGGTGGTCAGGTGTGGCCTCCCTAGGGAAGGAGGGCGCAGGGGCCCATCCTTCTGTCCTCATGTCTTGTCACTGCTGTCGGTTCAGTGCCCAGCTTTGCCACATCAGCCCCCTCCCTCCCTCCCTCCCTCCCTCCCTCCCTCCCTCCTCTCCCCCTCCCTCCCTCCTTCCCTCTTCTCCCTCCCCCCTCCCTCCCTCCCTCCCTCCCCCTCCCTCCTCTCCCCTCCCTCCTCTCCCCCCTCCCTCCTCTCCCTCCTTCCTTCCCTCCCTCCCTCCTCTCCCTCCCCTCCCTCCCTCCTCTCCTTCCCTCCCTCCTTCCTTCCCTCTTCTCTCTCCTTCCCTCCCTCTTTTCCTTCCCTCCCTCCCTCTCTCCCTCCTCCCTCCCTCCCTCTTCTCCCTCTCTCCCTCCCTCCTTCCCTCCCTCCCTCTTCTCCTTCCCTCCCTCCCTCCTCTCCCTCCCCTCCCTCCCTCCTCTCCCCCCTCCCTCCCTCTTCTCCCTCCCTCCCTCCCCCCTCCCTCCTCTCCCCTCCCTCCCTCCCCCTCCTCTCCCCTCCCTCCCTCCCCCTCCCTCCTTCTCCTCCCTCCCTCCCCCTCCCTCCCCCTCCCTCCCCCTTCCCTCCCTCCCTTCCTCCTTCCCTCCTCTCCCTCCCCCTCCTTCCTCCCTCCCTCCCTCCCCCTCCCTCCCCCTCCCTCCCTCCGTTCCTTGCTCTCTGCTGTTATTTCTGTCCTGGTCCTTTGTTTCTCTTCCCTTTTGTCTTATTTCTCCCTTTTCCTCTGTCTCCCCACGAAGGGCTCGGAGGCTGTGACAGACCTCAGTCCTATCTCAGAGCTGTTGACCACCTGAGTGTCTCTGAGCTGTATGGACCTTGGGTCCCCCTGCCACAGGGCCCGGTCTGCTGACTTGTCCCCACGGCCTAGGTCTCCCACCGAGTCCCTTGGCTGCTCTCTCCTAGGTGCAATGCATGGTTTCAGAAAGAAGCCGAACAGGGGACCAGCAGTACAGATGTCACCTGCTCCTTCTCCGGGCAATTCTACACCATTTTGTCCATCCCTTTGGTTTTGGCTGTCCTAACAGCCTGCATCTACTTTGGAAGGAAACTACTGCAAGCCAGTGAGCATCCCATCCCGTCAGGGCGCAGGACCCCAGAGGGATCCCAAGGGTCCCTGCAGGGGTTGGGTCTCCCTTTACACAATGGCTAGCAGGGTGGAGGCTTTCCCCAGAACCCAGCTGTCAGGTGGGCCGCTTTGGGGGCCCTCCTTCCCTCTTCCCTCCCCCATCTTCTCCCTCCCTTCCTCTTTCTTTTCTCTCATTGTTCAGTCCTCTTCCTCTGTCTCAGCCTTGCTGTGCTGAGGTGGGCACCAGAGGCCTGCTTGCAGACCAACTCAGGCCTGGGAAGCTGTGGGCCCTTCCCTGGGTTCAGGGAAGCAAAAAAGACACAGAGGGACAAAGAGGCCACACTCTTGTCAGTGAGGAAGCATACCCCTGGGTGGTCCCCCCCCCATCCCCCGGGTAGGTGGCTAGGCTCTGAGGTGGGTCAGGCAGCCCATCCTCATTCCCTGCTCATGGGAGTAGCGAACCTTAACTCTGTGAAGTAAGTGAGTGGGCTGACTTTGACCTCCAGGAAGGTGGGCAGACCTGCTCTTCCACCTGGTGGGCCTCCTGTGGGTCTCGACACACGTCCAAAGCCCACTTCTCCTCTTAGAGAAGGTCAGACTCTGGGGGGTAGACCGCACAGCTGGAAGCCCAGAATGTGGGTTCTCCATTGCTGTGTACCCATCTGCCTTGCTCCAGCTTCTCTCGTGACCCGATGTCTTTGTGTTACAGGACTGGTGGCCCGGGAACGTGAGCCTTTGCAGGTATCATCGCTACAGGTGTTTGGGTGGGAAGAGGAGGTCCCTCAGGATGCAGCCCCCCACCCCCGGCTTGGTGCCTGAGAGGTTGGATTTCACCCTGGGTTTCTCTGGCAGGGGCAGGGACAAGATGACACTGTCAAGTATCCAGTTACCGAGGTTGGGCATCCTGCAGCCGAGGAAGAGACAGCTTTCAACCTTGTGGATTCTGTGTGACCGGACACCTAGGAGGCCCTAGTGGGAGACTTCCATATGCCTGCGGAGCGTGACTGCTGCCCTGGGCTGCTCCAGGGCCGTACAGCAGCAGAGATGTGGTTTTAGCTCAGAGTCAAGGAGTTGCTTTGCCATTCTTACTGTTAAGTGAGGTTTGGGGGCCTCTACCTTTTCCCATCTGTTCCCACGTGCCCCTTCATCCAAATCCCCTGGAGGTGGTGAGCCAAAAACCTCTGATGTCAATAACAGCTACCACCGACCCTACTGCCCAGTTCTTCCAGTCAGCTCAGAACAGCTTCTGCCAGTCCCGGATATGTTAAGCCCGGGCCTGGTTGTCTGGTGAGCTGGTGGAGCTCTGCATCCTGGAACTGGGGTGCACCTAGTGACATGTGAACCAGGCATTAGGGGATTCGTTTATTTTGGGGGGACTGAGCTATGTTCCCAGCTATATTTTCACTTTTATTTTGAGGCAGAGTCCTATGCCGCTGTCAGGACCCATTCTGGACTCAGCCTGTATCTTGGGCAAGCCTTAGACTCGATCCTCTCTACCTCAGCCTCTCAAGTAACTGTGATTACTTCTGTGGGCCTCCAGGCTGGGACAGGATGATTTTCAGTTCTTTTCTTCTCGTGTGTGTGTGTGTGTGTGTGTGTGTGTGTGTATGCGCGTGCGCACGTACATGTGCCCATGTGTGCATCTTTTTTTTTTTTTTGAGACAGGGTTTCTCTGTGGCTTTGGAGGCTGTCCTGGAACTCGCTTGGTAGTCCAGGCTGGTCTCGAACTCACAGAGATCCGCCTGCCTCTGCCTCCCAAGTGCTGGGATTAAAGGCGTGTGCCACCAACGCCCGGCCCCATGTGTGCATCTTGAGCCAGTTTGGGGCTCACCAATTCAGCTAGACTAGTCTACTACTGAGCCCTTGTCTCTGTCTTCTCAGTGCTGGGAGGAGACAGCACTACGCCAAACCTCTTAAGTGGGTTCTGGGGATGAACTTAGGTTCAAGAACTCATGTTCTTACGCTTGTGGGGCAAATGCTTAACGACTGAGCCATTCTCCTGTCCTCAGAACAATTTTCTGAATTACGTCTTTATTTGTTCTTATTTCCCCTACTTGTTAGAAGAAATAAATATTTTTGTTACATTCCCCGTCTCTATGTAGACATCTTGTATCTCATCAGACATTTGTCTGTCCTGTGACTGTGATGGCAGCTACTCCACGGTGACTCTGTCCCTGTGTCATGCGGTCATTGGTGAGGGGCATCCGCCGGCAGGAGGTGCAGTCACCCTCACTGATGCGATCTTGCTCAGTGGCTTTGATTCCTTCACTGCCATACTTTTCCAGCCCTGGTGTACCAACAGGAGTCTTTGGACCTTTCACGTCGAGCCAAGTGACATGCCCCGGTCTCTGCTTGTCTCCTTGCCGAAGCCCTGGCATCGGTTCCAAGTAACTATGTGCATTTACAGAGCTTAGTGTCACTGCTCATTCTGAGGTGCACAGTGGTCAACCTTGATTGCCAGCTTGATTGAGTCCAGAGGGTCCTTCGAGGTCAGTAAGACACATTCAGGGTGCACCTGTGGAGCATCTCCAGAGAGGGTTTGCTGAGGGGAGATTCCCATCCTCGGCACGGGTGCAACCAACCCATGGGGTACACCAAGATGGAAGAAAATGAGTGCCAGTATCTCCTCCCTGCTCCCTGGTGGCTGGGAGGCGGGATGCTCTGTCACATCACAGAAACAACAGAGCCAGCCATCATGGACACTGCTGAACCGGTGAGCTGAAACACACCCTTCCTCCTTGAAGTATTTCCCACAGGGGTGGGCCGTCTCATTGATGCTACAATGTAGCAGCTCTGTGTATCTGTCATTTCATCTCTGTCTTAATTACGTTCTGTTGTTGTGAAAGGACACTAATGAAAGGAAGCATTGACTGAGGGCTTGCTCACAGTTTCAGAGGGCTAGTCTGTTATCTTCATGACAGGGAGAAGACAGGCATGGAGGAGTCTCTGAGAACTTTATATTCTCATCCACAAGCAAGAGAGAGAGACACACACACACACAGAGACAGACAGACACAGAGAGAGAGATACAGAGAGAGATCTTGATGCAGGCTTTTAAAGCCCACCTCCAGAGACACACTTCCTTCAACAAGGCACCACCTCTAATCCTTCCCTATGTTCCACTAACTGGGGCCCGACTCTTCTAAAGCAGGAGCCTATGGGACCACCCTCCTTCAAACAACCACAGTCTCCACGTCTGCCTTTCTCATCTCTGTCTGTCATCCACCTACCTTCTCTCTTTGTCATCCATATTTTCTTGCCTTTCATGTGCCTGTCTATCTTTTTTTTTTTTGAGACAGGTAGCTTTGGAGGCTGTCCTGGAACTTGCTCTGTAGACCAGGCTGACCTCTCGAACTCACAGAGATCTGCCTGCCTCTGCCTCCCGAGTGCCTGTCTATCTTCTTTATCCCATATAATTTGCTGCTCACCCGCTCCCTAGCCCACGGAACAAGCAGAAGAGCTTGCGTGTTGATGCTGGTGGTTAAGGAAGCTGAGTCAGGAGGAAGAGATGGGCAGGCCGTACAAGTGCCTGCCGTTTGCTATGATACCTATGGATTGTAATTAGACTGCAGAAGGAGCCTGCATCGATGTCTCACAAAGACGACACTGGAACCTGGCGATCGTCAAGAAGAGAGCCAGTAACACAGAGGGACCTGTCCACCGAAGAATCATACCGACTTTTAAGTGCATGCACAGATGCAGCTTGGCCCAGTGCAGCCTTCCTGAGTCTTAACTCCACAGCAGCTGCTGACCTACCTGGTCTGTGTTCAACAGAGTCTCCCAACAAAGTAAAGGGGACAGACCACTAGAGTGCAACACGGGGGCCTTTTGTGGGGACTCTGTGCTGTTGGCATCCAGAATGTGCTCGATGCCCCTGGTGTAAGCTTAAGAAAAATCACGTGGACCAGGCTTGATTGATGTCTCATTTTCTAAACTCTTCATTCTGATCTAAGTTGCAGGGATCAGCCCTCTGCCACTGAGGCCCATATTATGCCTGTAAGTCCCTGATCTGCTGGCCCCTGGCTTTGTTCTGACTGCATCTAGGGCCTGGTGTCCAAACACAGGGTCCAGGTTGCCCTAAGACAGCACCTAATAACAAAAGAGACATTCAAATTATTGGAAGGTAGGGAGGAGGTGGTCACTAAGGGTTGGGCACAGTGTTGGCCTGAGCACTGCTCGTTTTGGTGTTGTCAGAATGTGTGGGCTTAAAACTTCAAAGCAGGACATGAGCAGGACCCTGAGAACCACTGCCTTGCAGAGCCCTCTGAGCCTCCTGCAGCAGGACAGGGCATGCGTGCTTGGCCAGAGGCAGAGTTCACACCCACCCGAATCAATGGAGGCCTGGGAAAGCTGTGTGGCACCGTGTCAGTGTTCATAGTGTCTGAAGCTGTGGAGAGCTCTGGAGATGCCCAGAACCAGCCCCTTCAAGCCACATCTACGAGAGCTGCAGCAGGAACCCAAAGGCTCTAGTTGTTTGTATCCAGCTGCCCACATAGGATGCCTGTTTCACCAATGGTTTTATTCTCACGGTTTAAAGCCTGGAGCCTCACTCACCCTTCCAACAAGAGCCAGCTCCTGGATTCAGGAAACAGTGACCAGTTAGTTTGCCATTTATGCTCAGACTATCTAAGCTGAAGCCCCCACCTGCGTGAGTTACTTTTTCTCATTACTTGGGACAAATACCGGACAGGGAACAACCTAAGGGGAAAGGGTTTCTTTTGTCTCCTAGAGTGAGAGCAGCATCCATTACGGTGGGAAAACTGAAATCAGTAAGTTGCATAAGGCGGCTGGTCGCACCGCATCTGCATTTGGGAAGCAGAGCGATGGACGCTGATGGGAAGCTTGCCTTTCGTATCACTCAGCCCAAGACCCTTTCCAGTGGAACGGTGCTGCCCCCCCTCCCCACCCTGCAAGGGAGTAACCGCCCCTGAGGTCTGGTTTCCCTCCTCAATCAGCTCAATCTAGAAACTCCTTCCAAAGGTGCCTAGAGGTTTGTTTTCATGGTGATTCTAAATCCCATCACGATGATGAACAACACTAAACATTGCGTTGCTGGACTTAAGAGTCTCACAGCCTGTGTGCCCCAACAAGCCAGGTTTGGACACCTGTCCTCGAGAAGACAACTTAAAACAGCTAAATGAATAGAGAAAAAGCAGAGAAGGCCTGACCAGCCTGCACCGTGCTAGCATCCGCACGGAGAGAGGCCGCAGGATAAGACTGTGCGGTCCCTTCAGGTGGACGGCTGGAGGGGCGGGGCGACCTTAGGCGGGCACCGCAGCGTTGGGTTTTCAGCCCGCCTTCTCTTGTGTACTGTGTGACTTTTGCCTGGGAGATGTGAAATAGGACCCAAAAGACCTTTGCCCTGCAGGCCCCACCCCTGCTGTTGTGGGGCCTGGCAGGAGCTGCCTTTGAGATGCTGGGGGCGGGGGGAGTGAGGTGTGGCCTACAGAGGCACGCTGGGGTGCGGGTGGGGGGGGGGCTCTGAGTGCCAGGAGGAGGGTAGCACAGAGGCTCTTGGGAAGGAAACAAACAAGGCTCAGACGCTGCCTGGGAAGCGGCAAGGGCAGGAATCACCAGACTGGATGGAGTCTGCAGATGGCCACGCTGGGAGTAGGGATGGAGAGCCTCTTCTTCAGGCCCAACTTCGTACTCGTGACCTGAGGTGGAGGCTAAAACAGAGAGGCCGGAGTTATGCATTTAAAGCAGTCAGGTCACTGTCAGGTCACGGTCCCACCTACCACAGACCCCATCGTTGCTGTTGGCCCGGCAAACTGGAAGTCTCTTTCCAGAAGTTTCTCTACTGGGGCTGGTCCAAGCTTTTTAGGCTTTCTTTCCTCAGTGTTAAGAGTTCTGGGGGGTAATTCCACTCCCCTGGGGGTCCTTGCTTCAACAGGCTTGAGAGTCACCTGGGAGGAAACAAAACGGAGTCTTCCTCTCTGCCAGGTTAGTTACAGTCATACTACCCTTCGTCTCCTCTGGGAGCCATTTATGCCCCAGGCCAACGGTCCCCAGAGCCCAAGAGCTAACATTGGCTGTACAGTCAACCAAGTCTAGACCCGCCGAATGACCTTGTCTGGTCTTTCCCGTGAAAACCACATGAAGGCCCTCACCTGTTGGTACCTCGCTTCTTCTGCTTGTTGATCAACCCTGGGGCGTCCCCAGGTGGCCCCGTGGGAGGGTAGGGAGCTGGGGGGGTGGGGCTGTAGTAAGCCTTAGAATTTAGGTGGAATGGATATGTTTAGCTTAGGATATAAGTAGATTATAACTTATTTATCACCCTCTATGTATATATGTTGTATATGTTTGAGTTTGTATCAAATTTAAATCTTCTATTTAGACTAAAAGGAGAACTGTAGGAGTGAACCCCACAAAGCTATCCGCCCATGAGGGCGGGGACAAGTAAATTAGCACAGGTAGAGATAAAAGGAAGCAAAAGGAAAAAGGACCTCCTCTTTTGGAAGCCGGCCTCGCTTCTGACTCCCAGCTTGTGTGATTCTCTCTCTCTCTGGTAAATAAATATATTGGATCCCTTATAGCATTGACTATCATCATTAGTGAACAAATGTCTAGTTACCCCAGATAGGACACTCAAGACAGACACCCCCATCCCCAAAAAATACTATTACCTAGGTCTAGCTTAGAGAACCAGTGCATTTTTTTGATCACTCACAGAGCATGAACAACTCAAAGTCAGCTGCATTAGTGAAAAGCCTACACCCTACCCCCCCCCCGCGCACCCCCTCCACCCCCACCCCACAAGTGACAGCTCGGGAAAGCCACACTCTTGGAGCTCTGTGCTCTTACCTCTAAGCATCTTGGCTGGCCAGCAGGCCTCCTCTCCCCAGTAATTGCTACTGCTTTTATAATCTTGGGAAGGGGCCATGGAAACTTTTTTTTTTTAGGATCTTCCTAGGCCAGTTAGATTTCCTTTATTTTCCTGGCCCCCAAAGCCCCCTTCTTCCTCTAGGAGGGGTTGCTTTGTTTCCAGCCTGAGGCATCTATCTCCCAGCTTTATTCTATCACAAATAAAGGGAAAGGGGTGAGGCTGGGGGCCGGGAGATGGCACGGTGGGGGAGGGGCTGGTGAGGTGACTTCGTGGGTAAAGACACTCTGCTGTGACACTGGTGACCTGAGTTTAATCCCTGGGACCCACATGGTGTCAGGTGAGAACCGACTCCTGCACGTTGTCTGTGACGGCTGCGTGTGTGCTGTGGCACATGCTCACGTGTGCATACGCAAACACACACACACCACATAATCTCTCTCTAACAGTGATAAACATTTATTTTAAAATAGGGAAAAAGGCAGAGAAAAGGAAAACGAAAAAAAAAAATCGCACACCCAAACAAGACTCTCCTAACACCACCACTGGATTCATGTCCACTCTGGTGTAGCCCTGGTTCTGTGAGGCAGCACCCACAAACTTGACTTCAGGACGTAGGAAGGACAGAGGGTTGGGGTTGGCCTGGCCTATTCTGGGCTGGCTGGGAGTCTCGGGAGCAGGGCATACTTAGAGCCTGAGGAAGCTGTTGCAGTGTCCCTGAGGGGCTAGAACACTGCAGGGAGCTGGGTGTCATCAGGGCTGGCCGCTACACAGATTCTGATCCTGTCCCATGGAAGCTTCTGGGAGCTTCGGAGGCTCCAAGGGCTGGGCCTTCACAGTCAAGGGCTTTCTTCCGAGAGGGTGTCTGTGAAGACAGAAGAAACAGCTTGGTGGCAAGGGAGAAAGGCAAGGGATTGCGGGGGCGGGGGGGGGGGCGGGTAGGGGAACGGCACAGTGCCCCTGCAGGGAGATCCAGCACTTGGGGGTTCTGTCCGGACTGATGGGCAAGTTGCCCCAGCTGGCACTACTGATACCACTGTGCCCAGCCCCAACACTCCCACCCTAACTTCATCTCTATTGCACAAACATCCTTATCAGCAGGGAGGGGCTGCAGGTGCTTGGTCCCTTGCCCTGCTCTTGGATGCTAAAATCCCTGGTCATCACGGTGCCGCCATCACTGTTCCTGAATGAGGGCTGTGGCAGGGGGCTTTTAAGGTGAACACCAAGGCAGGTTTTGTCTTTGCAGTGACCTGGAAGACAGATACACTTCCAAGGGTGCATATAAGGACTGCAACGGTCCAGATGGGAATTTGCTGGTGTTCCCCTGGACTGCCTCTGTGGTTGAGGCTCTGGTCTTGTGGCACTGGCCTGCCAGGAGCTCCTGCCGGAATAGCAGCTGTTCCTGGGCTGCTCGGTTTGGCCAGTCTGACTCTGGAAGTATCCAGAATTCTAGCTTCTAGGCTGGACACCGCCTGACCGTAAAATTGATCAGTGGTTTTTCCTCCCCGCTGGACAACTGCAGACTGAGGGGACACTCATGTGGGAGACTTCCCAACAGGGCATCCGAAGGACTCTAACAGGCCCCAGCGTGGACCTTTCCCTTCCTTCGCTGAAACATAAAACTAGCCACCAGGATCTATTTCCTTATTTAACCATTTTCTTATGCCTGACTAAAACTTCAGGGCCCAATGTCCAGCAATCAAAATACGTAATTTGGCCACACCGACCAACCTGTCCAATCAAAACTTACCAACTCATCCTAACACAGACTCCCCCCCCCCTCATTAAACTGATCCTGGGGTGACTTGTGTTCTTGTCCCATAGAGGCATCATTTCCCTCCACCCTGGCTTGTCCCTCCAGGGGTAATACATTTTCTTTGTGCTGAGAATTTGGTGTCTTAGTGTGTCCTGTACCAACCCCGAGACCCCATTCAACATCCAAGTTCTTTCCTGAGGGCTCTGCAATGCATTTCTATTTTGTTTTCACTTTTTTGCCAATGGGCATAGAAGGGTGTGTGAGGTCCAGGCCCATGGGGCTCCTGGCCTGCAGTGTCTTGATCAGGAACATGGAACCTCTGCCAGCATGGGGGTCTTCACCCTGGAGCCAGGCCCCTACAGACAACATCTACAGGCTGGTGAGTCCCCCGAGCCTTTTCCTGTCCCCAAGTTCTGTCCTTTCCAACCCAGCTCCAGCCACAGCACAGATCACCCCAGATGTCTGGGCCTTTAGCTCATGGGGCTCTTTGTTGCTGGATGTCCAGATCTCTGGACATGATTGAGGACAAGCTTATGTTAGGAGGCCACAAATAGGCCGGCCCCAGGGGGCTCTACTCACAGACATCTGCTGTGGCTCTCATTCCAGAGCAGGTGGTAGGTATTCTCCTGGGCATGGTGACCCTTGGCAGGTGACAAGTTTCTATACCCCAAATAAGCCTCTCGGCCAATGCAAAAATTCAAATCAGACCAAATCAAACCAAATTAGAAAAAGCCCACGTTTAATGGATACAATGCTCCTGGGTGGCCTTCCAGTTCCTCAGAGAGAAGATGGGACAGGGAATACCTGAGTCTGACAGTTTAAATACCCTGTGGGAGTGGTCTTGAGCATCACTGTGGGAGGGCTCATCATTGGGCAGGCTTTTTGAGATGTAGCAGGGTTTGGAAAGAGATGTGGGGGAGGGGCTGGGGTGAAACTTCCACCATAACAGCAGGCTCTGACCTGGAAGAGCCTCTGGCCAGGCCCTGTAGCAAGAGGCCAGCCCTATGCAGCTCTGCCCAGAGGACGATCATGTCGTTCGTACAGTGCAGGTAGACATTAGGGCAGGCTGGCAGGAGCCAGGGTGTCTCCCTTGTTTGCTCAAGTAGGCAACTGACCCGCAGCCAGACACAGCTGCTCTCCCCTAGGATCCTGAAGAGCTGTTGCTACCCCCTGCTGGCAGCCCTAGCTGACCCTGCTGACTCCCCAGGACTTACACTGTCAGGCCCAGAAAGAAGGCAGAAGAGAGGTTAAGCGGGTGTGGACCCTGAGCCGGTCCCACAGAGAAGCTGTGAGCTGAGAGGCTGCTGCTTCCCCCACTGCACAAAGCAGAGCATTTAACTGAGGCCCTGGGCCACCGGGAGGAGGGAGCCATAGGGATGGAGGGAGGATGGTCCCCTCCAACACTCATCCCCTCTCCAGGGTGTTGTGTCTTTGTAGGCGGTATCCTGATGGCCTGGCCTCCACAGTGACAGCAACTAGCCCTAACCACCCACTGGGTGACACCTGGTCTAGTTCTGGAGAGCTAGCACCTAGCCTAATCCATCCTTTTGTCCCTCTATGTGAACTTTGTTTGGGACTTTCCCAAGAAGACAAAGGCCTATGCAATTACTTGTTTCAGGAAACCCGGAAAAAATTGCGGTACCTATGAATCCAGACTTTGCACTTGGCATTGTCGTCATTTTTGGAGGCCTCCTTCAAGTTGTTCTGAGCATGTGGCAGTCAGCTGGCTAAAAGTCCAAATACAGAGAAAAATAAAAGTGCCCCGGGCGTAGGGAAGGTACTTCAGTTCTCAAAACCGGGTACCAGCAGCCCAAAAGGCTGAATTCATTCTTAAAGTGTCTCCTGAGTTTTCCTTCGACAGACCAGCATGAATCCCACACCCGCACGCCTTGCCTTCTGACTCATGTTGCTTCCCATGCAAATGGCCTGAGCAAATGTCTGCTCTGTGGAGTCTGTGACCCAGGAAGGAGCTGCTCCTGAGGAGGTGGGCTGTGCTTGAGACACCTTAGCTCTGGTGTTGGTTCTAAAAGGGGATCCTGAGCCCCGAGGCCGGGGGGGCGCGATTCACTGGGCTGCAGGGCTGACACTCTTGCTGTTGTAAGCAGGTTTTCGGGGTTGCCCACCGCCATTCTGTCTCCCGAGGCCCCATCTACACAGCTCTCCCATGCTCCCGTTTTTTTTGCCTCTTGAAGTGGCTGAGCTGATGTGGTCATTACGTTCCGTTCCTTCCTCATGTGAATGAACCCAGGAAAGGTTCACCTCTCCGCTGACGACTGCCTGTGCCTGGGTAGAGGCAGGGAGGGGGAGGGAGGTCCTGGGAAAGTTTGAACCAGTGAGGTGGCCAGTGCTTCTGTTTGCACCACAGACCCACACTGTCTAGATACCATCCCGGGTGGCCCTGTGCCTGTACACGATCGGCTCCTCCATTGTAAGGATGACCCTGTGCTCACACTCACTGCATGCAGGGGACCTGTCGTACCACAAGGATGACCCTGTGCTCACACTCACTGTATTCAGGGACCTGTCATCCCCAAAAGGATGACCCTGTGCTTACACATAGTACAGGCAGGGTGTTGTTCCCGCTCCTAGGGAGGTGCCCATCGGTGTACACTGGAGACGGTCTCACCCGTACAGAGGCGAGCTTCTGTGCCCGGACACAGTACCCTCGTGGGGTCAGCCTCACTCCTGCAGTGACCCTGTACCTGTTCACACAGTTCCCGTGAAAAGCCGGCTCAGGCCTGGAGAGGCAGAAGACTGCTGGTTCCCACTGATGTGGAAACTGAGATTCCAAGAGAGATGGCTCAGAGGTTAAGAGCACTGACTGCTCTTCCAGAGGTCTTGAGTTCAATTCCCAGCAACCACATGGTGGCTGACAACCATCTACAATTCAATCTGGTGTATATGTAATAAATAAATAAATCTTTAAAAAAAAAAAGAGCCACCACCACACTGCTGGATGGCAGAGCCTACCGACTCCCCACTTCCGGGGCGGTGGAGACATAGCTGGGGAGTCGTGCTTCCTGGAGTACGAAGAAACAGAGGCAAGGAGAATCCCTATTTATTTAAAAAATCCAGGCTCTGGGTCTCCAACCCTACCTAATTAGTGTAGACCCAGGCCAGAGCTCGAAACAGTTTTGGCATGCCTGGCTCCCCCTGCAGGACAAAGGTGGTATCACATGTGGTCAGTCTTGAACCTCTAGCAGAGGTTCATGCATTCATCCTCTGGCTTGGTGCCGGAGATGGGGAGCTCCAGCACTGTATTGCAGAGGGTATGTTATCATGACTCAGGGTCTAGGGGTTGCTTTTCCATTCTTACTGTCTAATTTAGTTCAGGGGCCTCTACATCTTTCCATCTGCTCCCATGGGCCTCTCTCCCTCCAAATCCTGGGAGGTGGTGACTTAAAACCACCAGCATTAATGGCAGCCAATCCAATCTTGTGCATTTACCTGCATGGATCTAGCTAGACTTAATAGACCTTCCTGGTCTGTTTTCCCTAATACTCTTCCCTGTAAAATGTTTTTGTTTGTTTTTCGAGACAGGGCTTCTCTGTATTGCTTTGGAGCCTGTCCTGGAACTCGCTCTGTAGACCAGGCTGGCCTCGAACACACAGAGATCCGCCTGCCTCTGCCTCCCGAGTGCTGGGATTAAAGGCGTGCGCCACCATCGCCTGGCTGGTGGTATCCACCTTTAGTAACAGCAATCAGGAGGCAGAGGAAGGGGGAATCTCTGCTGTGGTCCACAAGGTCCTACAGGAGACATACTTACATCAGAATTCCACTGGAAAAGATCCCCACTTGCAAAGTCTTGGGGGATACCTGCCTTCTGAATAGCCACTGTCATCCCCCTTTTCCATAGTGGGGGATCCATCCCCCCCAAAAAAAAACCCCAGCAGTGAATTAATCAATTACTGGGCACAACTCCCTCTTGTACCGATAAACTGGATAACCTTCCCCAACACCGTGGGGCCCTGGTGTGAAAGTATTAGAGGCTAGCTCCCAACAATTATCTCTTGTGGCAGGACACAGGACAAGGAAATCAGCCTTGCAAAAAGAGCATTCAGAGCTCCAGAAGACTAGCAAGCAGGGCTGGGCAGCCAACTCAGGAGAGT